GGCAGGAGAATTGCCTGAACCCAGGAGGCGGAGGTTGCGGTGAGCCGAGATCGCGCCATTGCACTCCAGCCTGGGTAACCACAGTGAAACTCTGTCTCAAAAAAAAAAAAAAAAAGTAACTGGCATTTTGGTTTATACAGCAGTTTCTTGCAAGTTAAATCAGCATGGATGTGCCTCCTAGAGACTGATCCACTCTAGATTATTGCTAACAAAATCAAGTTTCTTGACCTTCAGCTGAGTGTTTTACCATAGCAAATGACACTGACTTTGTGGCCCTACAGAGCATACATCTCTTCAAAGCAGCAAGTTTGGCCATCTAGAACCATAATGGAAAAAAATTGAGTATGTTGGTTTAATTTACTATTTGTGAGAGAATCCTGTGAGAGTACAGACGTTCCCTTTCAAACTACTTAGATGGGCTTTCTAAACCAGGACTTCCTGAATAGTTGATCACAGTGAGATTACTCAATAGAAATGAATGAAATTATTCTACTCAGAAAACATAACCGTAACCTATGGCCATACCCTCCTGAACGTGCCCAATCTCCTCTGATCTCGGAAGCTAAGCAGCATCAGGCCTGGTTAGTAGAGTTAGACAGGAGAAAATGTAACCCTAAATGACTTCTTATAATCCAAAGAATCCAAAGAAATGAAGAAAAGGCTATTCCAAGAACAAAAGCCCAATAGTCAAGTCTACAAGTCTAGAAATTACCCCTTCCACTATCTACAGTCCTAAATAAACTGTCAGTAGAAGTGTTAATACACACACAGAAGTCAGCAGGCAAAAATTTTAAAAAAAACAAACCCGGAACTTGAGACACAGAAATATGAGACTTTGGAGTGGTAATGTTTTTATGCTTTACAACTCCTACGGTGACGATGGGTTAAGTGAAGAGCAGAACCTTAGTAAGATATAAAACTAATTAAGATATAATCACTTTTGAGTTTCTAAATCAGTTTCTCTTAGTCATGAAACCAAACTCCTGAAAACCTTTTTATTATTTTTTTTTAAATTCACACATAAAAAAACACTAAATGCGTGGTGATAAATATGCTAATTACCCTGATTTGATAGTGACACAAGGTTTACAAGCATCCAAACACCACACCTACCCCATAAATATGTACAATTGTCAATTTAAAACAATATACAACTTAAAAAAAAATTTTTTTAATCCAAAAACACGACATTTTGCAGACGTATTCAAGTACAATCGCATTATTCCTGAGGTTTAGGCCAAGCACCCATTCACTACCATTTTCTCTTCTCTAAGCCTGTCTGATCACTTCTCAACCACCTCCCATGCTCCCATGTCTAAGAAATTTCCTATTTTCTCCCCTATACTTCCTCATATGTAGAATTTGGTGTTCAAACTTTTTCTAAATTACAAGGCTTCTAAAAAAAGAATCATCCTGCCTTGAAGCAAGATGACAATGAACCATGCCATTTTGATATACAGAACCTCTTACTGCTGACAAATGGCTAAGCTGTCTTCAACCCTCTTAAGTTATTAATCCATTAACATGCTGCACTACATTCCACATACTAACTACATTTCAAATGCCTTATGTGGAGTTACAACTTACTTTAGGGGATCTTCTTGATCACTGTCTATGCTATCAGCTTCACTGTCAGGGTCACCTCTCCATGTCTGATCCACAGTAATGGGTTCCTGCTCCCCATCACTCCAGCTGTCTTCATCTGAGGCAAGGAAGGGAGAGCAGCCATTAAGACTTCCCACCTCTGTAACTCCACCATACAAAACTAGATACTTAACATATCAACCCAAACCTTGAAATTTTAAAAACAAAGGAAAAAAAAAAACACTTAGCACAAAGGTACCGGCAAATAAAAACTCTAAAAGAAAATACAACCCAAGTAAGATTACTTTTAACAACATAAATGAATAAACCACACCCTTTCGAAAGGACAGAAAAATCAAAATTACTGTTTCCTGAAATTACCTAACAAAGCTGCTGAGCATTAAAAGAGCAATGAAAGAAATGGTCACCAACTTAGGAGAGTAAACCCAGGCAAACACTACTTCAAATTCAAAAGAATCGGTAAACAACATAGCAATCCTGGAATTCTCACCAAATTCCTGATGAATTAACAATACTACTAAATAGTTCAAGGCATTATGCTAACCCAAAATAAGTTCCCTCTTAACTTTCTTCCTCCCTTTTCATTCCAGGAGAGAAGATCCTTACCTAATATTCGGCTGGCTTCACTGCGACTACTTTCTGGAGTCTGAGACCCCAGCTCTGTCTTAGCATATGAGCTCAGCTGGCATAGGAGTGTTTCACCCATAGGCCCTGGGTTGGTCTTCTTCATTTGAGCATGAAGTGCCAGGGCATTCCTACGGACATGTTCAGCACAGAAGGCCACCCTAAAGAGACAAAACATTACTATTTTATAAGTTCCTTCTTGAAAGTGTTCAATAATTCTCATAATCCCTAATCTTTAAATTATTTTTAGGAAATTAAAATGACTATTACATTCATTTCTAAAAGTGCCAGTAAGTCAGAGGACTTTAATTGGCTCAAGGTCAAACAAGTCATTTGACTTTATTAAAGGGAAATAACAGGCTGGATAAAGTGGTATCCCTATAACCTAAGCACTTTGGGAGGCTGGGGTAAGGGACTGGGTCTTGCTGTTCCCCAGGCTAAAGTGCGGTGGTGCAATCACAGCTCACTGTAGCCTTGAACTGCTTGGCTCAAGTGATCCTCCTGCCTCAGCCTCAAAGTAGCTAGAACTACAGGAATGCACTACTGTGCCCAACAAATTTTTTAGTTTTTTTGTAGAAACAAAGTCTTACTATGTTGCCACGTCTGGTCTGGAACTCCCAGGCTCAAGTCATCATCCTCCCACCTCAGCCTCCCAAGTAGCTGGAATACGTGCCCACAACACTATGCCCAGAGAATTTTTTAATCTTTTGTAGAGGTGGGGTCTCACTATATTGCCCCAGCTGGTCTCCAACTCCTAGCCTCAAGTGATGCTCCTGCCTTGGCCTCCCAAAGTGCCGGGATTACAGGCATGAGCCACTGCAACCAGTCAGGGACACAATTTTACAACTACAAGATATGTACGAAATTGTCTAGTCAGGTTATGTGTTTGCATGGATACCTTTGCATACATAATGAAAACTATGAAGCCTCTTACAGAAAAATACACACATGTACAACTTTGTGTGTTAACAAAATTCATGGACAGCCAAATAGAGCCACACACCCTGCATTAATAACTTTATTCCCCATAAAGTAACAGGCAAAAAAGAAAAAACAGACAAAAAGAGAATTAAAAAGAGTAACTTTAGAGGCCAGGCACAGTGGCCCATGCCTGTAATCGCAACACTCCGGGAGGCCGAGGCATGTGGACCACCTGAGATCAGGAGTTCGAGACCAGCCTGGCCAACATGGTGAAACAGTCTCTACTAAAAATACAAAATTATCCGGGCATAGTGGTGCATGCCTGAAGTCCCAGCTACTCGGGAGGCTAAGGCAGGAGAATCGCTTAAACCTGGGAGGTGGAGGTTGCAGTAAGCTGAGATGTGCCACTGCACTCCCGCCTGGGAGATAAAGCAAGACTCGGCCTCAAAAAGAAAAAAAAGAAGAATTAGGATAGAGCGCAGTGGCTAACGCCTGTAATCCCAGCACTCTGGGAGGCAGAGATGGGAGGATACCTTGAGGCCAGGAGTTTGAGACCAGCCTGGTCAACATAGCAAGACCCATCTATATTTAGAAATAATAATTTAGAATATACCTTTATTTTACAGATAAGGGAAAAGAACCAAAGAAGTGAACTAAGTAATCCAACTGAAGTGTCCTTCTAGCCTTCACCGTTTTGTTTTTCAATTTTCCAAGGATACATCCATAATCCCAAATTCACAGGGACGTTACCTCAAACGCGGCAGCTATGCAGAAGCCCACATCCTATCACATACCCTCCCCCTCTTTATGGCAAATGACATATATATATACCCATCTTTCTTCTCCGGCTTTGGGGCAGCATTGGGACATCTTTTTCCATTCTTCGTCGATATATAACTACACTGCTTGAACGGTGCATTTTTGTCTTCAAGGATATGCTTAATGCAAAACTCCTGCCCCTCCAGACGAGGCTGAGAGCATGGACGATGAGTGAATGCACAGGACAGAGGTTCCTGAGATCTGGGCACTGGAGTGATCCTCCCCCGATTGGTTGGCAAGACGTGGATCCGAATCCTGTTCATACCAAAACCTGCGGGGTCAAACGAAATATCAAAAAGCCCTTACCCTTCCCGAAAATTCCTGCTCCACCATATTCGGACAGATCGCGCGGGCAGTTTCCAAAGGAGTGGCAGAAGTAGGCCGGTAAGGTACGGTCCGAACTCCCCGCCGCCCTCCCTCAAGTCTCCAAAAGCATTTGCGGCTTTGCCTCGCTTTAGCGTGTCCCTCCATGCCCTGCCCCACCCCGACCCCCACCACGCTGAAAGTATCTTCAGGACTCGCACAGCTGCAGCACGAAGGGAAGCGACAACGCCAGCTCCACGCGGTGGCCACGCCGCAGCCCCGCGCTCCGCCCCACCCCCTCCCCGCACTCCGCCTTTGTCCCGGCCTGCCTCAGAGCGCACTACTGGGCCCGGCCGCGGAAGCCCACGCGACCGCCATTTTGTCTTACGGCCCCGGTCAGCGGAGAACCCGACTCCTGGAAGCCTGTAGGAAGGAGACTGACTCTGACACTGCTTTGGACCGGAAAAGCAGCTCTGAACCGACAAAAAGAGCGAAACAGCAGCCCAACTGCAAGAGTTCAGAGCAAAGAGCACCACCATCTTACCTCAAGCGCCGCGCTCTGCCGCGCTGCTCGCCCTCCTCTGGTGGCGCCAGCGGCTCCTAACTAGGCCTCGCTCTTTTCCGGACTCCTAGCTACTGATTGGCTACGACGGGGTGTCGCCATTGGCCGAGGCCCACTACCTATTGTTGTCTGGGAGGGCGGAGCGCTGAGAAAATGCGCGGCTGGGATGGCTAAGACAGACTGTCTGTCAGCAACTCCGCCCCGAGGAGAGTGAGTCGGGAAAGCTGGCGGAGCTGACAGAGAGCGGACTGCGGGGCGAGGCGCCAGCTACTGATATTTTTCCACCTTGCAGCGTGGTACATTTTCCGGCTACTTTTGAACCCTAAGTCTGTGGTCCTAGGTGGCTGCTCCCTCACCACTGTGCACAGCTGGTATAGAATCAGACAGAGGCTGGAGGATCACTGTTTACACATAAAAAGGCTTTAGTTTTCTTTTGCGAACAGTTAAGTACATGTACTGAACATTTGGTGTAGAGAACCCTGAGAAACATTTTCTTGGGTGTTTACTAATTCTGGGATTTACATGTATAAATTCATTGACTTTTTCAAAGCAACCCTAAGAGGTAGAGGTTAGTATTATCTCCATTTTACAGATAAGAGGACTGAGGAACAGAATAGGATCATAGACAGTAAATGGGAAAGGAAGGCGAATTGAACCCAGCCCTCATCCTTTATCCCTTATTGCCTCTTTTTTTTTTTTTTTTTTTTTTTT